ATCTTGTAAAAATATGGGTGAATATACAAGTATATAGATAGATACAGATATTTGTATTTTCTTCCCAGAAAAATATGCAGGAACCAATCGCTCTTCATGAAATGGACACTAGCAATGGGGTGTTGCTGCCCTTCTATGACCCTGACACCAGTATCATTTACTTATGTGGAAAGGTAAACAGTCATTTTAATGTTTTATATTCAGTTTAATCTTGTAAGAGGAGAAGTTTATCCTTCAGAGATTTAGTTGCTGGGCAACGCATTGTATCATATTAATAGTCTAATTTAGATGATTTGTGTATGTGTCTTAAACTAAAATAAGGACGGATGTGTGTTTTGGTGTGTTTTAGGTCTTGAGCCTAGACCCTTTGAGCCTGTCATTTGTGTGGTGATAGCACACCATGTTTAGGACTCCTGAGTACGCATCCCTGAGGACAGCAGGGATGGGGGGCTCGGGTGTTGGGGTGAACACTGGCAGGAATGTCTTCCCTTGGGCACTCTAGTGAGAGAAAGAGGACACCCCGGTGTCTCTTCACCTCTGGTGCTGCGTGGTTGAGGATTTTAGATCCTCTCTAATGGTATCAGGAACAGGTAGCCAGTTTGCCGCGTCTGATGCTGAAATCCATTGGGTAGCCCTAGAGTGGCATTAGGTGTTTATTACCACGTGCCATGGACCTGTAAAGAGAATAGCGCTTTTTGGATAGGAGCTTTTAAAGGCCTCAGAGACTCTCCAGGGAGTTCTTGTTCCTGGAGTTCAGCATTAGGGCCCTGGCCTTGAAAGTATGTGGCCTGACTAAAGTGTCAGGAGGTGACAGTTGTTATAGGAAGACCCCACACTGAAATCAAAAAGCGTACCTCCTGCCTTATCTCCACCTAACTACAGTGTTTGCTAGCTTTATTATTTTTTTTTATTTTTATTTTTAGTGGGCAGTAACCTTAATGTTCCTTAGTCTTTTGTAGATTCAATTTTTCTTAGACTAGCTGAAATAAATGAATTAATAAAATTGAAGCTGTTGCTGTATTTCCCCCAAACCTGTGTAGATAGCCCCTTGCTGAGTAAAGCCAGACCTGTTTCGGTTCTCATAGTTGACCGAGCTCTGCTTCACGTTGTCCTACCATCAGCTGCTTCAAACCCGGGATCTTGTCTGTTTCCTTGAGAGTCATTTTCAGATGTTCACAGCTGCCATAGACTGCATCAAAACCAGTAACGGGAGCGATTACCCAGATGTTAGCAACACTAGGTGGGAAGTTATTTTCAGTACACAGGAAACAGTCTGTGTTTAGCTTGTTTACCATCACTTTAGATATTTACGTTATCGAAACAAGTGGAAATCATGAGAACTGAGACACTTGGAAGGGCACGATCGCATATACACACACATTTCCCCTCCAGCAGGCAGCATTGCCTTTGCCGCTCAAGGTGGCATAACTGTGGGACAGCTAGTTCTGCTTAGAGACACTCGCGTACGCTTCCGACCTCCAAAACTATCTGACCTTTCTAAGAAAAATTATCCTAGAATTTGGTACATTGCAACAAGACAGCGCTGTCTTCTGAAGTTAAGGAATACTCATGTTTTAGTGAGTTTCTTCATTATGAATGAAGAATTATTATGAATCGTGAGTTAATTATTAATTAAGGATGATTAAAAACTCTTTGCTCTTAATATTTCATTCTCCTACAAATCTTACTTTTTATTATTGCTTGATTGTCCGGGGTTGGCACCCTCAGGTCTGCAAAGGACACCGTTCTGTGCCAGTCTTTGCCCTCTCCGTGGTCCTCCTAGACTTTGTCTGTCTTTTGAAGTTGAAATGCGATGCAGTTGCTGGGCCGGAGGCCTTAACATTTTTGCCCTGACTCTGACTTGGCGTCCGGGCTCAGTGGAGAGCCTCCAGTAGGAGGCGGAGGAGACCATTTAAAAGACATGCTAGCATTTGATGAGTGAGGGCTTTGCCAGGAAGGGCAACCATCAGATCCTCTCTCCCTCTGGAGAGGAAGCGAAGGTTGGCCACTGAGGCCAAGTCCCAGTCAGTGCTGGGTTGACAGGGGAGAGAGACACCGCCTCATCCAGCTGCTTCAGGTAACGTTCAATGCGAAGTTTTCTCTGATTTCTTGTAGGGTGACAGCAGTATCCGCTATTTTGAGATCACAGATGAATCCCCGTATGTCCACTACCTCAACACATTCAGCAGCAAGGAGCCTCAGAGAGGGATGGGCTACATGCCCAAGAGGGGACTTGACGTTAACAAATGTGAGATCGCCAGGTAAAGAGCCGGTACCGGAAGATACGCAGGTTGTTTGTGCCCCGCGTGTTACACCAGAGCGATACAGCTGCCGGTAATGCCCTAGGGCCGCAGTCTTGTCTCCCCTCCGTTGCACTGCGGAATTGGTTTCTCATTTCCTGTCCACACTGAGGAACACAGAGTTTTAGAGCAGGAAAGAACTTGCAAAATCGTGTCATGGAACCGTGCTTCAGACTGTGTGGCCCGAAGCACCAGTGACATGGCTCAGCCAAGGCGCACTGCACACGTACTGACCTAGCGAAGCCTCCATCTCTCGTCTTCAGGCCGAGGCTGTGGCCAGTGTCCGCTGGGAGGCAAGCGGGGGCGAGCCTGCCCCTGAGATGGACCGAATAGATGGTTTTCCTGCCCGCCGTGGGGACAAACATGTTCCAAACTGGATCGTGGACCTCACGGACCCTAGATTAGAGAAGGCAGAGACCAGTAGCTGGGTGTTGGGTTAGCTTGATTTAGGAAATGCAACTATGTTATAGAATTCCTGCCTGTCTATACCACTAGGGATTTTTAAAAAATTTTGTATTGCATAATGCCAGTGGTCTTCCCAAAGGGTAGGCTTTTTTCTCCTCCTAGTCAACAGGATATACTCTGAGACTCACGAATGACTGGCCGTTTAAAAACTTTTTTCTTGGGGCGCCTGGGTGGCGCAGTCGGTTAAGCGTCCGACTTCAGCCAGGTCCCGATCTCGCGGTCTGGGAGTTCGAGCCCCGCGTCAGGCTCTGGGCTGATGGCTCGGAGCCTGGAGCCCATTTCCGATTCTGTGTCTCCCTCTCTCTCTGCCCCTCCCCCGTTCAAGCTCTGTCTCTCTCTGTCCCAAAAATAAATAAACGTTGAAAAAAAAAATTTTTTTTAACTTTTTTCTTAAGCTTTATTTATTTATTTTGGATAGAGAGGGGTAGGGGGAGATAGAAAGCCAACGCACAGGAGCAGGGGAGGGGCAGAGAGAGAGGGAGACAGAATCCCGAGCAGGCTCCGTGCTGTCAGCACAGAACCTGACGCAGGGCTCGAACCCACAAACCGTGAGATCATGACCCGAGCCGAAACCGAGTCGGGCGCTCAACCGACGGAGCCACCCGGGTGCCCCATGAATAACTGACCGTTTTGAGCAACAGGATGACTAGCGCCACGCTATTGGGCCAGTGACCGTTCCGCACATTTGTACAACACTACATTTCTATGGACATCTGCCTACCTCTGTTGTTTTGGTCATACAGTTAAATAATGAGCACATCTTTTAAGTTAATTACTATAAGTTTCATTTTTAAATATACTTAATTCTCTATAGCTGGAGTAGTGAAAGAAAGATAATTCAAAATTATAGTTTAAACCAAACTCATCAAAATGTGGTTCAAAATAGATTGAATCCAAACTTGAGAGTGCTTCTGGTACTTGGGAAAGCATTTATTTTACTGTCATCTAAAAGTCAAAAACCTGTAAGCATAATCATTCAGGATACCTCCTACTTATTAAATGTTTACTGAGCATTTATTAATACATTGAGTACTTGAGCTGGACGTCAAACCCAGGCCAGTTTGGTTGGTTTTTGTTTTTGTTTTTGTTTTTTACCACTCTGCTGACTGCAGAGGTTTTGTGCTTTATGTTCCTGGTCTTTCCACATTTTGGATAATTTGAAATTTTTCTTGAGTGTCAAATATGATGCAGTTTGCATAGATGCCAAAATTGTAATCCTAGGATTATCTTCTTTTCCTTTTTTTTTTTTTAATTTTATTTTTAACGTTTATTCATCTTTGAGAGACAGAGACAGAACATGAGTGGGGGAGGGATAGAGACAGGGAGACACAGAATCCGAAGCAGGCTCCAGGCTCCAAGCTGTCAGCACAGAGCCTGACGCGGGGCTTGAACTTACGAACTGCGAGATCATGACCTGAGCCAAAGTCATACGCTCAACCAACTGAGCCACCCAGGCGCCTATCTTCTTTTCCTTTTTAAAAATCCTATTTATGCCAACAAATGTTCAGCCACTTCTAGTTGGCAGAAGACCTGGCATCCAAATCGTGGATGCTAATCTCATGTCAGGTGTTTGTTCTCTCCTGTCTGTTGACTTGGTCATTGTTCCAGAAGTGAATCATCGGCGGTGGTGGCATTTCCACCACAGCTGCTCAGCCCTGAAGATGGGGGTTTGACTGTCCCAGCAGCATAGACCTCAACTCCTGGTTCCTGTTTCTAGTCCACCATTTCCTAGCATAGCTCCTCTTGGCTTCTGTTTTCTCATCTGGAAAATGGGAACACAGATTGTACCTGCTCCCCAGGGTGGATCAGCCGCGGTGATAGGCAGAGCATGTCGTATCCCATACAGGAGAGTAATTGTTATGAAGCCTGTGACTTGGCCTCTTATTTCACTTAATACAACTTTGCCTTTATTTCCCCCTTGAAGATTCTTCAAACTTCATGAGAGAAAGTGTGAGCCTATTATCATGACTGTTCCAAGGAAAGTAAGTACCCAGTTTCTTAGGCAAATTTGTGTTTCAAAGACTTTCACATGTCAGGTCTTTCTTCTTCTTTAACTGAGGGTTTTCCCAAACTGTCTCTTGTAGTCGGACCTTTTCCAGGATGACCTGTATCCTGACACAGCAGGGCCCGAAGCGGCGCTGGAGGCAGAGGAGTGGTTTGAGGGGAAGAATGCAGATCCAGTCCTCATCTCCTTAAAGCATGGATACATTCCTGGCAAAAACCGGGATCTCAAAGTGGTCAAGAAGAACATTCTGGATAGCAAGCCCACTGCAAATAAGAAGTGTGACCTGATCAACATCCCCAAGAAAACCCCGGACACAGCCAGTGTGGTAAGGACCCCCTGAGGTTGAGGGGTGCGGTGCGCTTGGCTGGCTCAGGGCTTTCTTTCAGTGAATGAAAACATGACTATTTCTAAGAACCTCCTTGGCCACATAACATTTTTGAGTTTGGCTCCATTAGCTGTTTTTGGGGTTTTTGTTTTCGTTTTTTTGTAATGACCACGAGAGAAGTCAGTCTACGACCATTTTTAAGAGAGTACACAGGAGCTGCTTGGGTGTTTTCTTAAGTGTGTCTCCCCAGACCGTTCACGTCCATCTTTGATTGGGGTGGAAATGAAGCAAGAGAGCGTGGGGCCACAGATGCCGAGAAGAGGGCGTCCTGGGAGGGGAAGAGAGTGGTGCGAGGGTCCAGATGTTGCTGAGTGTTCCAGAGACACAGGCGTGTGGTGACGAGTGCAACTTAGCGAAGATGATCTTGGACCTCTTGGCAAGAACCATCTGAGTGGAGCGGTGGGAGCCGAAGCCTGACATTGGGGGCCCGCACGGCCACTGGGGATGCTGCTGCTAGGAGAGCAGGGTCTAGCCAGGGAGGCGGCGGCAAGGGGACTTGGTAGGCGTGGAACGGGATCCCAGGGGCCAGAGGGAGGTCGGTGAACTGTCAGTGAGAAGGTAAGTGGAACGAAGAGGCCAAGCGCCCGGAGGAGCTGGCACTTTGGCCATAACTAGGGAAGCCACGTCAGATGCCGTGGACTGCAGGGTTTCCAACAGGATCCATTCCACGTGGGAGAGGCTGAGGCCTCTTTAGAAGAGTTAGCAAGCAGGGCAAGGGCTTTAGCTCCTAAGAAGGGCCCTCCCCGGGTGATGGCAGGGGCTCGGCAGCCTCCAGAAGGTCACGTAGACATTACTCCTGATGGTATTGCACCGGGTGGCCAGGCTGTGGCGCAGCCGTGAAGGGACCGGTCCCTTCCCACAGTTTCTGTCCTGAGACTGAGTCCGGGTAAGTGCACGGGCATGAGGAGCAGCGCTGCAAGACTGTGGCTCAGCTGTGGGGCGGCAGGTGGGCTGACCAGCAGCCGGGACTCTCCTATGGCTCAACTTGGTGGCGGTGCCTGGCCACATCCAAAGTGGAAAATGAGACTGCGCAACCTATACATTCTCAACTGTGGTGAACTTTGTTGAGTGCATTTTAGTCAACCTCTTACCCTCTCCCCCCTTTTTGGTTTTCTTAGCAAAATGAAGCCAAGCTGGATGAGATTTTAAAAGAGATCAAATCTATAAAAGATACAATCTGCAATCAAGACGAGCGCATTTCCAAGTTAGAACAGCAGATGGCGAAGATCGCCGCCTGAAGGTCCACCCCCCACCCCCAAAATGGGAGCAGGAACTCTTCGTGGTAGCCGGTTGTGGGCGTGGTCCCAGGGAGGGCGGAAGGGAGGCACTGCCATTTGGGGACCTTCCGTGTCAGCGGCCCGTGTCAACCAGCCATGGGCCGCATTCCAGTCAGAACTCAATTCGTCTCCCAAATTTGCAGAAACAAAATGTGATTTAAAAGCTGAGCTTTTTATCAGAAAGCTTTTTTGATGTTTTAAGTGTTACGTGACTTGTCGAACTTTTAAAAGACAAAAGTGCTACTTTTAAAATCCCAGATATTCTGAATTTTAGAAAACCGACCAATTCTGATTCAGTGTTGTGCCCAAGTACCTTTTTTCTTTTTTTTTTATAAACAGGGACCAATGCCACATTGCTTTTTATATTTCTTTTTTTTTTTTTTTAACGTTGCCAAAACCAAAAGTAGCTCCCCTGCCCGCCGCCCTTGTATTTTGCTACTTTGCAGTATTTGTGTGTGGTTTTTTTTTTTCCTCCTTAATTTGAAAGGGACAGCACTGTGTATGTTTATAAACTAAATGAAGATAAGATATTATTTTGTATACACGTTCATCCGAGAACAATCAGAGCAGTAGCCTCATGGTGCTGGCTCGTTTGCAGCACAAAACCCGGTCATCCTCATGACTGTACAGAAGGAAGACTTGAAAAATCACGTGGGTTCACGTCACCACCCCTCTCCTTTCACGGAGTCTTCTGATCAAAAAAGCTCCTATTGTATCGTCTCTTTTCTTTCCTTTCTCTTTTCTAGAAACTGGGTGGTTGTACCAGAATGGAATTTCACTTCTTGGTTATCCTGTGCTTCAGATGATTATAATCTAACCTAAACTAGCGTGTGTTTCCGCAGTTTTGTTATACACGTAGAATCTATTGCATTGATCACTTTAAACGTCATAGTTCAGGTTTCGGTCAATACTTGACAAGGGTGCCCGGGACAGGAGGCCACAGAAGCCACTGTGGAGTGTTCCTTCTTGCCCATTTCAGCAGCCTGTCTTGCTCCTGAGTGCAGTAGGGGACTGTAGGCCGAGCGAACCTGCAGGGGGGAGTGTGCCCCCACGGGACCCTCTGCTCTCCCAGCACATCGCATGCCGACCCTGTGCTGTGCTGGAGGCAGAAATGGCTCTCTCTGCACCCCAGAGCCCCTGCCCTCCCCTCTGTGTCACAGATGCAGCCACCTCTCTCAGGGCTCCCCCAGATAGTCCTTCTGTTTTTCCTGCCTCGGCCCTCTCCACAGTCAGCTGAGATGAAGGCCAGAGGGTGCTATTGACTATTGAGACTGAGAACAGTCTAGAATGAAGCAAGACCAGGAGCACGGGCCTCTGCTGTAGCTTTAATGTGTACGAACTTGTCCCTTTGCACCCTCCACACAAACCAGCCTGCTCTGCCCCTCCAGCTCACACAGAGGCTGTGTCAAAGCACAGAGGTTCCCCCGGATTCAGGGGCCAGCGACTGAGCTCTGAATACCTGTTCCATTCCTAGGTTAGCTAGAACTTGTCCATTTCCATGTTCTCATTTTGCATGCTTGAGGAACAAGATTTAAAGAATCTCTGGGAAAGACTGAGTGTCTGTGGTCGAACATGAAACGTGGAGTGCCATTGGGACCGCCCGGGGGCTCTTGCGCATGCTCCCGCCGGTGTGGGGACGAACTGGCCGGGAGCATCTGTAACAGGGAGCCAGGATGGAGGCGGAGTGTGGTGACACTGGGTTGGAACGCGCAGTCGAGCTGGGGCTAATGTCTGCGTAGGAAAGGTACCGTGTTTTTACCCAGAATTGGGATCACTGTCTCCACAGTTTCAGGGCATCTGAATGTTTGGTGTGGTTTTTTGTGTGTATGTGTGTGTTTAATATTGGAGTGGATAATGAGATGTAAAGAAAACAATAATTACAGTGACTTCTAGTCAAACCTGTACATGTTTCTTTATCGACGTAATCTGCTGAGGACCTTCATTTTTTAAATTGAGAAGTGTTTTAAGGTTCTGACAAGTAAACAAAATTGTTGATAGTGGTGGAACACCATAGGGAACGTGGTTCAAAGAGAAGACAGAGGGCAAGGAGAAATTACCCTGATTTTAGTGATTTTAGCTTATGACTTATTTAATGAACGAATGCCCAGCCAGGCTCAGAGTCGGCGCCTGAAGCTTTGTGGATTATTTTTCCTGT